GCTGCGCTGTGAGACGTTTGCGGGAAAGCGTGCGCTAAAGAGAAAGGCACCATAGTTTCGAGTCCCCGCCCATCGGTCAATCGCAGAATACGTGGCTACAACACAGAACGCACATCGAATTTTTCTACAATGGTTAAAACAAGATAGTGAAAATAAGGGAATTAGTGCCTCACTCCACAATTTCCGAACAAACAGAGCTGCTCCTGTAGATGCAATACGAGCTCCTTCAAACAGCAGCCTTTCAAAAACTGATGAAGTGGCCGTCAAGCGCAAAGACGAAAGCCGAACAACTACAAAGGTCGCTGATCGGAAAAGCGCTCCAACAATGCAACGGGAGGAGCCAAAACCAGCGGCCGCGAGGGTGGAGCCAAAACCAACGGCCACGAGGGAGGACCCGAAAACAGCGGTTACGAGGGAGGAGCCGAAAACAGCGGTTACGAGGGAGGAGCCGAAAACCAGCGGCCACGAGGGAGGAGCCAAAACAACGGCCATGAGGGAGGAGCCGAAACAAGCGTCCAACAGGGAGGAGCCGAAACCAACAGCCACGAAAGCCAGGTACGTTCTCTGCACGAACTTTGTTTTCCACAACTACGTAATGATCCCTTCCGGTGATAGGGAGTGTGACGGCAGATGGATAGGAGCACTGCCAAGTTGACCTTCCCGCCAATGATGTCATCCTGAGTTTAAGGAAATAGGTAGGAAAGGTTCTCTGGCAGCACTCCAACTCACCCCCCCCCCCTTCACATGCCCTGTCGTTTGCGGGTGTCATGACTAAACGTACACTACATATCCCAGAGCCGGAAAGGGTGTGGCTGCGTACACACCGGAACCTAGCAGCTTTTGAGGACTATTGCCGTTGTGGTACAAGTGTAATCAAGTCTTTGCCTAACATAAAACAGGATGACATGTTCAAAGAAAAATAACTCATAAAAAGGCGTTCTCTGCCCTGTTCAAGTGGAGAACGCAGGCACGCCCTCTCCACCTCTGGGATATGGTGTATAGATATCTTGTCGCTAAGCGGCAAGTAGCCTCTGTGAAGCTGACAGTTTAATAGACTCAAATTTCTTTGGATTCTGAGAGCAAAACCTTCTGATTAGGTTGGAAAAAAAGTCCTGCGACACTTTTATAAAATTGTTTTGAAGAGAACCAAAACACATTTCGACTGTTCTCACCCCTGATTTGTGGAGAGTGTTCCCTGAGGTTTTTGCATACCGGTATATCACGACTTTATGGAAGCTTTCGAAGCCTGAATGTCCTCCAAAGGTCAAGGTCCTTTTCGACATATCCCAAACCGTGAGAACCTGTAGGGCCATTCCGCCGTAGTCGAATAAGCTAACACCTGCGTTGTATTCAT